TTATTTTTTAAATAAATATGTTAATTTTTAATTTTTTAATTTAAAAAAGTTAACTTTTAACTTTTTTTTTATTTAAAAATATCAATTTTTAACTTTTTTTAATTTAAAAATTAATTGGTGGTGATGCTGATGTCAGTTAACATAATTTTTTTATTAAATACTTAAATTGGTCTTTTAACTTTTTTTTTAACCAATTTATCCTTGAACTTAAAAAAGTATCGAAAACATCTTTTAACTTCAATTTTTAATTAATAAAATTATTTCTTAATTCATAAAAGAATTAATTAACTTTTATTTAATTTTATTAAATGGTAGGTGGGACTAATTAAATGAGAAAATATATTAATTGTTTTAATTTTTAAATATAAATAAAGTAAAATTAAGAATTAAAATAGTTTTTAAATTATTTAAAGTTAAAAAAATCCACATAATCATTTTTTACATGATGGATTTTTCACCTAATATTGAAAATGTAAAATAGTCAATCACTTAACGAAAAAATTAGCTACATCAACATTTAACTGACGAAAAGATAAAATTGAAAATTGAAGTTGAAGGATGTTTTTGGTACTTTTTGAAGTTTAAGGATGAATTGATTCAAAAATAAAAGTTGAGGGATAAATTCAGATATTTAACCTAAAAAAATATATTAGTTGATGTGAGCATCGCAACCCATTAATTCTTAAATAAAAAAAAATTAAAAGTTAATATTTTTAAATAAAAAAATTAAAAATTAATATTTTTATTTAAAAAATAATAAAATTAACATGTTTAAGTAAAAAAAAAGTATAAAATTAAAATTTTTATCTGCACATTTACTCTAAATAGCGTGGTCCAATAATAAGGCATGTGTTGGCTGGAGAGTGCATGAGGCGAGTGCTCCTACAACTGCACACCTAGAAAATGTCAATTCATGTCAAAAATGTCAATCCACGTGACATGAAGCCATCCCGCCTCTATTTAACCATATTGCCCCCCTACTCCTAGGATCCAAGTTCGCTGCCGTCGCGCCCAAGTTACTCAAAAACAAGAAATTTTTGGGAAAGCTGAAAACGATGGCCAAAGACCAGAGGCTTCAGATGACGGCAGAGGCGGCGCAGGGAGAAGAAGTTGTCTTTCATGGAGATATATTGGAGACCATTTTCTGTCATGTGCCTCTTGTTCATCTCCTCCAGGCTTCCCATGTTTCCAAGTCGTGGAATCGCGCTGTTTCCTCCTCTCTCCGCCACTTCAACCGCCCCAAGCCATGGCTTATTCTCCACACTCAGCGCTCACGACCTCCCTACTCTATTTCCGCTCACGCCTACGACCCGCGCTCCAACCTTTGGCTTCAAATCCACCACCATACCCCAATTAAATACGTCTCCGACCTCCGCTCCGCTCACTCCACCCTCCTCTACATGCTCTCCCCCATGAAATTTTCCTTCTCATTAGACCCACTTCATCTGACGTGGCACCACGTTGACCCACCTCTCGCCTGGCGAGTTGACCCCATCGTCGCCGTGGTGGACAGCCACCACGTTATCGTCGCCGGTGGCGGCTGTGACTTCGAGGACGATCCCCTTGCGGTTGAAATATACAACCTTGAGACTCGATCGTGGGACACGTGCCGGTCCATGCCCACCGTCATCAGAGATTCAGCGGCCTCCACCTCGCTCTCAATCGCAGCCGGTAAAAGCAAAATGTTCGTGATGGAGAAATCATCCGGAGTGGCATACTCTTTCAATCCCAATTCGAAGATCTGGTGCGGGCCATATGATCTTTGTTCTGATCGGGATGTTTACTTTTCCGTCATCGGATTTTGTGGGGATCGTTTGGTTATGGCAGGATTAATCGGAGAGCCAGAGAAAGTGACGGATATAAAGTTATGGGAATTTTCCGGCCAGGGGTTGGAGTTTTGTAGAGAGATTGGGGCGATGCCAAAAGGAATGCTGAAAAAGTTGATCGGAGAAGCAACTCGGGTCAGTTCGATAGGTATGTGTTGTATGGGCGATTTTGCATTCTGTCACAATCCTGAGGATCCCGGGGAGGTGGTGGCGTGTGAGATTGTCAGCGAAGGTGCCTGCCGGTGGGGGAGCGTAAAGAATGCGGTGGATAGTGACGAAAGCAGAGTGGGCGAAAGAGTGATTTTTACGTGCTCCGCCGTGGGGTTGGGCAATTTGCGTCGCTCTGAGGACCAGCGCTTCACAATTTTAAACTGTTGATCAAATTTTGGGGGAAATGTGCTAACTGCTGTGCAGGTTAAATCATTTATATGGATTAAGCACAAACTGGAGGGGTGTGTTTTCTTGTCGTCAAGATTGGATGAGTGTACACTAAAAGTAAGAAGACGTAGAATTAAGGGGTGTTCGGTGTAATTGGAACTTTTGATAGGAGTTTAATGGGAAAGAATATATTGTAGAAGTATTATATTTTAAAAATTAAAAGTGTTTGGTAAAATTTTTTATAAAAGTACTTGTAGAGTGAAAAATTATTTGGTAAATTTTTTTATAAAACACTTTTTAATATTAAAGTGATTGAAATAGATATTGTTTATTTTTTCATCACTCTTACTTTATTTTTTCATCACTCTTATTTTATTTTTTTATATTTTTATATGACTTTAAATTTATAATTAGTTTAAAGTTGATAATTAAAAACTAATTATTTAAATTTTAATATATAAATGTTAGATAAATATTTATATTTTAATATTAAAAATAAAATATTATTATATTTAAATAACATAAATAAGATAATTAAAATTAAAATTTAAGTTAAATATTCTTTTTTATCCTCTACTTTTTAAAAAAAATCATTTATTAATTCTTGTACTAAAAAAATCTTTTTTAATTCTTTAAAGTTTAAAAAATTCAATTTCTTTTTAATACATTTCGTTAAGTTTTAATGAGATATATTAATTAAGAAAAAATTTATATATTTTTTTTACTTAAATTACAAGAAATATCCATACTATAAAAATTAATAATATTGTTAAATTTTAATATAACCTTAAAATTATTTAATTATATAATTATTAATATAAATATTTTAAAGGATATTATTCTCCTATCCTCTGTTGTTTTTTTCTTCTTTTTTTTTTTTAACCTTTGGATTAGTGCAAACCCAGGCACGAGGTTCGTCTTGGAACCCACCTCCTGGGTTCGTTGCAAACCCAAGCAAAGGGTTTATCTCGAACCCAGGCGTTGGGTTTGTCTCGAACCCGACGAGCCCCGCGCTTGGTTCCCCTCGAACCAAGCTCCTAGGTTCGTTTTAGAACCCAAACACAAGGTTCGTCGCGAATCCAAGCGTTGGGTTCATCTCAAAACCCAAGCGTGGGGTTCGCCGCGAACTCAACTCCTGGGTTTGTCTCTGAACGGAAGATGAGGGATTACAATAAGTATTTTTGATTTGTTTCTTTGATTTGGATGAGGAAGAAGATAGTTAAATACTTTCGATTTATTTCTCTTATTGGATGAGTATTTTCAGTTTGTTTCTAATTGGATGAGAAAGAAGAAACAGATGTGCCTGGGCTGCTCGGTAATGTATAAATTGGACCCTTATATACTGTTTTTTTTTTTTGTAAATAAAAAGAAGTGTGAGGATAAAATGAGAAGACCATGTCAATTTCATTAAACATGAAGCGAGAAGCTCTCGCGGAAGTAAGAAATTGGTGCTTTCAGGCTTTGCAAAAGGAACGGTGAGAAGGTGAGCTTCTAGAAAGCTGCAGCACGTTTGAGAAACTGACCTGTTTGATGCAGCTTATGCTTTTAGAGCCAAAAAGCTCTTTTCACAATTTGCACCAAACACCCTCTTAGTCTGAAACAGTTTCATAAACAACAGAAATTGCGTGGATGATTTTTTTACGATAGGAAACATGATTAGTAAAATATTATTTGTTTGAGTAGCAATTGAAGAGTCAACTTGATGATCATGTGTTGTGCTTCACTTTAAAGAAACGTGGTCTTAATACTCTATTTTCAAAATTAATGTATCTTGTACAGTTTATTTAAATGGGCAAAATACCCTTATACTCTATTTATAGTAAAATTATATTTTACTGATAAAAAAAATTTTAAATTATTGATAATGAATTTTTCTTCTTTCTTTTTTTTTTTTTTCTCTTGGATAAGTGATTAAACGAAAATGCTATATTTTTTAAATAATTAGTTGTACTTTATATTTAATATCATATTATATTTATTTAATATTATATAATTAATTATATTTATAATTTTATATAATATTATAATTATAATATAATAATTAGTAAATTTGCTTCCTAACTCTGTTAGTGGGAAGACACTGCCTACAAAACCCTGCATTGCCGCCATATTATGAATTCACTCCTCCTTCAATTATTTATGTTATATAATTAAAAATACACAATATGTATTATTTTTTGAACGTAAGATCCCAGAGATGTTGTCTCATACCCTGTGGACATGTGTGATATTAAGACTCTGGGATCAAAGCACGTCTATAATGGCTTACATTGCCTAATTTTTTTTTTTAGGAAAATAAGCGGTGGAGTTAACCCTTTTTGAACTCATGATGAATTATATGTGCATGGATACCGTTCAAAATATATATATATATATATATATATATATATTTGCATGGTATTGGTTATATTTTAATATAATTACTTTGAAGTAAAATATAATTGATTATTTGTTTTGATTTTGTGTTAAAATTGTTACTTGTCTTAATCATGGCTCACGACTTTTTTATAAAAAAATTCTAGAGAGAGCCTTACCAAACATGTCCTAGAATTTCTTTTTGCTACCCAAACAAGCAAAATGAAATTCGAGTTCTAAAACCTTGAACCAAACTTGACTTTTTTTACCAATAAAAGAACAAAGTAAGAAAAATAGAACTCCATATAGTCTTGGAAGTTGGAAGTATTGTAAGGTATGCTTTCAAATGCCAATGTTTTCACACAAATAATGCATGCTCAATGGAAGACTAATTTGTCATGATTCATTCTTTAGATTTTAAAAGATTAGAAAAATACTATTCACCAACCGATTTCAAGGGATAACCTTTTTTTAGTACAAAACTTTCAATTGTTGTGTGTTGTTGAGTGTTTAATTAATCATTGGACTTAAAAAAATATATCCTATTACTGAAAACCTTGTATATAAAATACTTTAACTAGCATTGATATATTATAACAATATGCTAAATAATTTTTTTGATGGTAAGTGTGTTTTCGGACAATTTGTGCATAATTCAAAATTAATCATTCTCTAGTTCAATCAAAGACAAACTATTGGCGCTAAGACTAAATGAATTCATAAAGAATTATTCATAAATGTTAGGTTCTCTTTGTATTTTAATGATGATTTAAAACCATGATTCAAAAGAATTTAATCTATTTTTGTGCTAAGTGTGCAGGAAAATTAATTCAAGAATTCTAATATTTCCCCACGATTATAATTAATTCATGTTTCCCTTATTTAGAGTTCTGGGTTCGAATCAATTTAATTTGATTCAAACCAATCCCAAACTTCTTTTTTTTTTTGAAAATGGTTCGAATAATTATTTTTGGCTTCGAAGCAAAAAATTCTAGAAGGTTAAATTTTGACAACTCAACTATCCATCTATTCTTATTCTTAATGGGCCTTGGGGGAACCAATTGTCTTAGCACTTCCCAAAGTCAAGTCAGAGTTAGTAGAATAAGGTGGAATCTAATTGGAGCATTAGTGAGATGGCTTTGAAGGGCTAAATGAGGTTTAATTGCAAGGCTCCAAACCTACTATTAAAAAGATCATAAAATCAGATCTGGAAATAACGAAGAAGGATGAACTTCTCTAGTGTTACAGAAAACAAAGTTTGAAACTGTTCTGCATCTCCTTCTTCTTCTCTTCTTGTGAGCTTTTGGGTTAATTATCTTATAAGGGTTTTGTATTCTTCTTGGATTGGGATAATCCTTGAAAGGGTTGAGTGAGTTGAGATTCACTTGCGATGGTTTAATCTTGCACCCGCAAGCAAGAGTTTGTTCTGGTTTAATCTTGCACCCGTAAGCAAGAGATTTCTAATGGATTGAACTCTTAAGTAAGGAGGCTCGGGGAGTAAACGTACTCCGGGTTGGAGGAATCACTATAAATCACGGCTTGATATTCTCTTCCCTCTCTTTTATTTTTCTGCACTATATTACTCTTTGTTTATTCTGCACAACAGCTTATAAATTGCAAACTTGATTTAAGTTTTGAAAGAAAATGAAACAAGTTTTTAAGTTCAAATTGGTAAGACCCAATTCACCCCACTCTTGAGTAGCTAGCTTGGATTACAATAAAGAATTATTTCCTCATTGGAATTCCCATATAATCAAACTTTAGTTGTGGGGAATAAACTCTTTTGCCAATTAAACCATAATTCTTTTAATAATATGATATAAAGTTTTGTAATTAACTTTTATTAATTATAAACTATGCATAAATTAATATATGGGTTTTTTTAACATGTGCTTTAAGGGTAAAAATTAAAAGTATAATAAATATACTTTTTGTTATTAATTTGTGTTGTGAAAATAAAAATTGAGCTTTAATTTTTCAATCATTCAATTAAATTCATCTACCTGTCAATGTAATAGTAAAATTAATGTCAATTTTTACATTTTTATACACATTTATGGCAAAAAAAAAAAACCTTAAATGTACAAATTAAAAAAAACCCTTAATATATGTCTATTCATTTAATATATATATATATATATCACATCATATTGTAGGTAAAAACCATTAATTAATTATACTTAAATGGAGGCATTACTAGTGGTAGTAGGTTGACAAACTAAGTGTGCGGTCTGTATGATGATGTAGAGGATTAATTCAAACCACTTATTCATCATCCACTACAAATTTGCTTTCTGAAGTGTGTGGATCCATTGTTTTAAATGGTCGCAGATCGTGACGATTATGGCATAACAATACTAGGTAGATGACTGAAGGAATGGTTTAAATAACTCTTTTCACAGTTAAAATAATAACTTATATACAGAGTTATACAACGGTAGTCCCTAGGAATACGTAGATTGAAATAAATAATGAAAATTAATACAAAAAGTACAGATTCATATATTGCAGTAATCAATAAGAAATCGTAATTTTTATTACTTTGGACTTCCATTAACACGCCCCGGAAGATGGAGGAGACGTTGGCCCTGCCAACCTTAGACCATGGCTGCAAAAACCGAGTACTAGACAGCGGTTTTCTGTTGCCATCAACAAGTTGATCTTTAGAAGAGATATGAGCCTATTTTTCAACTAACTTCTGGAAAAAAATGTAAATCAATGACTATGTTTTATTCGCGAGTGAATTATTGGATTACTGCTCAAAAAGTCAGGGACGGAGCTACCATAGGACAAGGGGGGACAGCCGCCCCCCTAATCTTTTGAAAAATGTTTAATCTAGTATACTAATTT